TCTCTCTCTCTCTCTCTCTCTCTCTCTCTCTCTCTCTCTCTCTCTCTGTGTGTGTGTGTGTGTGTGTGTGTGTTTGTGTTGTGTGTATAAAACTGACAAACAGATAAATGTTGGACAATATTAACAGAACTCAACTGACAAGACAAAGTGAGGATATATAAGTTAGGACTGACCCTAATTAAATGCTTAGTTAAGAGGCTGAGAGAGGGCTCAGTGGTTAACAGCACTGTCTGCTCTTCCAGAGGACCTGGGTTCAGTTCCCAGCATCCACATGGAAGGTCAAAACCATTTATAACAACTTTTCTAGGGGATCTGATGTTGATTCTGGCCTCTATAGGCACTGCACATATTTCATGCACAGACATAATCCAGGCAAAACATGCATAGACATAAAATAAAATCAATTAATAGCTTGTTAAATGTAACAAGCCAGATTAAGATGAATATTACATATTTTCTGTGCTATGTGGACTTTCTGTCTGTCTGTCTGTCTCTCTCTCCACACACACACACACACACACACACACACACACACACACACACACACACACATGCATACATATTGCATCAAAGTGAAAAGCAGAAAAAAGGAGAATAAAAAAGTAATAGGAAACAGGTAAATAGTATATATTTTCACTCATATATAATTTTGTTTTAACCATATGAAAACATCACATGAAAATAGAAGGGGGACTATTCAGGGGAAGAAAGGAAGCCAGCAAGAAGAGGAAGGAGACAAGAGAGGCTAGTGGGAGAGCATATGAACAATGTACAATGATATATATGTATTGATATGATAAAATGAAATGCATTATTTTGCAGACTAACTTAATAAAAACTTAAAAGAAAAACAACATGGAGAAAAACAGCTAATCTTGCCCCAATAGTTTGAGAATATACACTTCAAGCATATTAGACATAGAAAAATTATACATTGGGTCAAAAACAAAAACTGAAATAAATATAAAAAAATCTGTCATCTGAACATCATGCAGTAGTTAATATATTTGATTTCTTCATACTTTACTGCAAGAATATAAAGCTAAAATTAAAAAAAAAAACAAGTTGTGTTTGAAATCTTAAAAAATTATCTATATATAACTAAAAAGGAAAATGTCTTCTGTATTTAGTATTGAGTAACAACAAAATGACTGAAATGTTACTTATGAAATATAGTTAATTGGGACACTCTGCCACAAAGGAAGACTGAAAATTAATGATGTAAACATTTACCACATAAAATCAGGAAAAAGATATAACAAGCCTCGAAAGGCCATAAAAGGGCAAAAAAAAAAAATCAAAGAGGGGAAAACAAAAATTCAATAGGCAAAATGAGCAAAATGTCCAAAGCTGAATTCCCTGTAAAATCTGACATCATTTGCTATGTAGTAACCAGTCAAGCAAAAAGAGGCATAAATAGAATAAGGAAAGGAACATAACTCTAGATCAAGATACTTTAAAATAATACACTAGGGCAGTAACCCAAAACACTTGGAAGCTGTTTGCAAAACACCTGTAAAATGGATAATACTAGATCAATGAAGGAAATGAATAAGGTCTCAATAATTCAGAATTTTTGATGCAACACTTTAAAATATTTTCACATTTAA